GTCAAGAGAAAGTGTCAAGAAAGATTGTCTAGCGCAGAGTGTCAAGAGAGAGTGTCAAGCAAGAGTGTCGTGTCAAGAGTGTCCAGCAAGAGTGTGAAGCAAGAGTGTCCAGCAAGAGTGTCAAGAACAAGTGTCAAGGAAGATTGTCTAGCAGTCTAGCAAAGAGTGTCAAGAAAGAGTGTCTAGCAAGAGTGTCTAGCAGAATGTCATTTCATGAGTGTCCAGCAAGAGTGTCTAGCAGACTGTCCTGCCCAGCAAGAGTGCCCAGCAAGAGTGCCAAGCAAGAGTGTCAAGCAAGAGTGTCTAGCAAAGAGCGTCCAGCAAAGAATGTCAAGCAAGAGTGTCTAGCAAAGAGTGTCCAGCAAAGAGTGTCAAGAAAGATTGTCTAGCAAAGAGTATCAAGAGAGAGTGTCAAGCAAGAGTGTCTAGCAGAATGTCATTTCAAGAGTGTCCAGCAAGAGTGTCTAGCAGAGTGTCCTGCCCAGCAAGAGTATCCAGCAAGAGTGTCTAGCAAAGAGCGTCCAGCAAGAGTGTCTAGCAGAGTGTCCAGCAAGAGTGTCTAGCAAAGAGTGTCAAGAAAGATTGTCTAGCAAAGAGCGTCAAGAGAGAGTGTCAAGAAGGAGTGTCTAGCAGAATGTCATTTCAGAGTGTCTAGCAGAGTGTCCTGCCCAGCTAGAGTGTCTAGCAAAGAGTGTCCAGCAAGAGTGTCTAGCAGAGTGTGAAGAAAGAGTGTCCAGCAAAGAGTGTCAAGAGAGAGTGTCAAGCAAGAGTGTCCAGCAAGAGTGTCTAGCAAAGAGTGTCCAGCAAAGAGTGTCAAGAAAGATTGTCTAGCTAAGAGTGTCAAGAGAGAGTGTCAAGGGAGAGTGTCCAGCAAGAGTGTCTAGCAGAGTGACAAGCAAGAGTGTTAAGCAAGAGTGTCAAGCAAGAGTGTCAAGCAAGAGTGTCAAGAGAAAGTGTCAAGAAAGATTGTCGAGCAAAGAGTGTCAAGAAAGAGTGTCTAGCAAGAGTGTCGTGTCAAGAGTGTCCAGCAAGAGTGTGAAGAAAGAGTGTCCAGCAAGAGTGTCAAGGAAGAGTGTCAAGAACAAGTGTCAAGAAAGATTGTCTAGCAAAGAGTGTCAAGAAAGAGTGTCTAGCAAGAGTGTCAAGCAAGGTGTCCTGTCAAGAGTGTCCAGCAAGAGTGTCTAGCAGAGTGTCAAGCAAAGAGTGTCAAGAAAGCAAAGAGTGCCAAGAAAGAGTGTCACCCAAGAGTGTCCAGCAAGAATGTCTAGCAAAGAGTGTCCAGCAAGAGTGTCCAGCAAACGTGCCAAGCAAGAGTGTCAAGATAGAGTGTCTAGCTAAGAGTGTCAAGAAAGAGTGTCTAGCAAAGAGTGTCAAGATAGAGTGTCTAGCAAGAATGTCTAGCAATCAGTGCCCAGCAAGAGTGCCCAGCAAACGTGTCAAGCAAGAGTGTCTAGCAACGAGTGCCCAGCAAACGTGTCAAGCAAGAGTGTCTAGCAAAGAGGGTCAAGATAGAGTGTCTAGCAAAGAGTGTCAAGAAAGAGTAGAGTGTCCAGCAAGAATGTCTAGCAAAGAGTGTCCAGCAAGAGTGTCAAGCAAGAGTGTCTAGCAAAGAGTGTCCAGCAAAGAGTGTCAAGAGAAAGTGTCAAGAAAGATTGTCTAGCAAAGAGTGTCAAGAAAGAGTGTCAAGCAAGAGTGTCGTGTCAAGAGTGTCCAGCAAGAGTGTGAAGCAAGAGTGTCCAGCAAGAGTGTCAAGCAAGAGTGTCAAGAACAAGTGTCAAGAAAGATTGTCTAGCAAAGAGTGTCAAGAAAGAGTGTTTAGCAAGAGAAAGTCTCGTGGAAAATGCTCGTTTTTGGAAGCTTTGATTGTCGCTTCTGGTGAAAGTCTCGTGAAAAATGCTTGTTTTCAAGTGTCAAGCACGAGTGTCCAGCAAGAGTGTCAAGCAAAAATGTCAAGCAAGAATGTCCTGTAAAAGTATCCAGCAAAAGTGTCAAGCAAGAGTGTCAAGCAAGAGTGCCCAGCAAGAGTGTCAAGAGACAGTGTCAAGAAAGATTGTCTAGCAAAGTGTGTCGAGAAAGGGTGTCTAGACCGCTGGGGAGGTGCTGGCGCTGCTTTAGTTGATGACTCTGCGAGTCATCTCTGAAAACAAGAACGCTTTGAGTGCTACGCTTCTATACAAAGTAACTGCATTCGGGTTCGTGGGTTCTATCAGGTCTTTTTTGACCCTCGACCCTATCTTTTTCACCCTCCTTCCTTTGCTTGGTGTGTTGGTTGGTTGGTTGGTTGGCTAGCTTGTTGTAATGCAAACCAAATATCGACAGCCGTTGGGGAAAACAGGGGGTTGTGTGGTTTTGGTTGCTTGGATTGTTGGTTGCTTGGTGGGCTACCAATGCAAATATCGACAGCATTTGAGGAAAACGCAGTTTGGTTGCTTGGTTTGCTGGAGGCTTGGTGGGCTACCCACCCTTTTTGACTATCCTTCCTTTGGTTGGTGTGTTGGTTGGTTCAGCCTGCTTGGCTTGTTGTTTGCTTGGATTTGGAGAAAACGCATACAGTGATGGATCATGGACAGAGAGGAAAATGTAACTTTTTGGTGTGTTGGTCTGTTGGTTTGCTTGCCGTGGTTGCTTGTGTGATACAGTGCTTGATGGATATGCAATTTTTTCTGTTTGTGTGCTTGGTTGATGGATGGATGGATGGATGGATGGATAGATGGATGGATGGATGCTGTGTAAATAAAGGCGGGAGGGGGTGCGGGGGAGGGCGCAGCGCTAACGGGATGGGTGGCTTTGATTGCTTGGCTTGTTGGTTGCTTGGTTGGTTTGTTGGCTTGGCCGCGTTGTTGCTTGGTTGGTTGGTCGGTTGGTTGGCACTCCGTTGATGGATGGGTGCATGGATGGATAGATGGATGGATGGATCCTGTGCTGCCTTACGTTCCGGAGGCGTCCGGGTCAGTTTCCGGCGGTTCCCGTCGTTCCGGACAGTCTCTGCGCAGTTTCCGGAGGGTTCCGAAGGGTTAGTAACAAGAAGTTATTGAGGTGAACACAAAGGTTTTGGCAGGTGCAAACAAGCGGTGTGAAACAAACCGGAGGTGACATCGTTCTCTGTGCAGGTTCCTGGGGTTGCCTGCTTCATCGGCCGAGGGTTGAAAAGAAAGGGTCGAGGGCGAAAAAGAAAGGGTGAAGGGTGAAAAAAACAAGGTGAAGGGTGAAAGAAACATGCTCCAGGGTGAAAATGACAGGGTGCAGGGTGAAAATACAAGGTTTTGGAAGGGTGGAAAAAGAAGGTTCCAAAGGGTGGGGAAAAAAGGATTCTTGAGGGTGGAAAAAACAGGTTTCGAGGGTGGAAAAGAAAGGGATGATGAAAAAACCATTCTTCGAGGGTTAAAAACAAGGGAGCCCGAAACCAATGAACTGCCCCGGCCGTGCTTTCGTCTGAAACAGCTGCCCTGGCCTCAACAGCTGCTCCTCTGCTTCTCTAGCCACCCATCATTCTAGATCGACTCGACTCGACACCAGCATGTCAACCCCTGGTGATGGCAAAGCCACAGAAACATACCGCTAGCCGCTAGGTGACTACCTTCCTGATCCAAGAACACACACACACACATGCAAATGCTTTTTTGGGTCACTTCGGCAGCTCCAGTTATATAAGCTGTTCATCAAAAAGCCATTCAACAGAAATCTGTGACGGAGAGTCGGAGAGTAAACATTAAGAATGAGGAGTTCTGACAGCTCGCCGTCTGTTATTGACATGGTAGTTGGATCATGTTGGATCTGAAGAAATCTTGTTGTGCCAGGAGGCCGTGCTGTAGTAGTGCTGTGCTGTAGCTGGAACGGAAAAAAAGGGTTTATCTCGGGAAGCTCAAGCCCTACATACTTTTCCGAAACCTTTGGTTTGCGTTGCGTTGCTTGTTGACTGACCACTTCGGTACTGAAATGGAATTATGCCATGCACAATACGCAGGCGAGAAGCATAGCAAAACAAGCTTCTGACCCGACTCCTGTCCTGAGCCCTTGCTGAAATGTATTTCCTCCAGCAGCAGCTCCAGTCTGTCAATTTGCAGCACAATACCGTATCGGTTCACAAGCTTTCATTGTTCTCAAAAACATCAAGAGAACAATGGGGAAGGACTTCTTTTTACATGGGCCCTGCTAAAGGGTAAGGAGCCCTTCCGACGGCCCTTCACTTCTTGTTTCTTCTATGTTGAACTCATCATGCTTCTATCTGCAGGTTCAGTTCAGACTTCCATCCCTGTTCTCGCCTTTAGATCGGGTCGCCAAATGCTGAAAGGACGTGCCTGGATAGTCTGGCTTTCAACTGTAGTGCGGATCCAACAATCGTTTACTCATTTTGCTCATGATTCCGTGCACTACCTGCCTCACTGCCCGGAACCTTTCGGGAGCTCCACACTTCCACCATTCTGTCATGTGGAACTATCTTGATCGCCCAGCGACCTGCCTTGAGCAAAAACAAAAAAACAGCACAGCTGTTCGTTTACGCCAGAAGAAACCACTATGCATGTGTGTACTTTCCAAAGTACATCCATGGTGCACCACAGTACCAAGAAGCCCTTTCATGCCTCGAGGTTGAGTTGAGTCTCTGCCATTTGGGCACTCGGGGATGCCATAACCTAAAGGCCACTGGTTCTTACACTATAAATCTGAATGTCTGAAGGTTACAAAGGGCCAAGGACGGGACGCTTGAAGTGTCATGCTGATCATCACGCTCTTCAACCTTTCCGCTATGCAACGCAATGACATTCATATGAGAAAACTGCTACATCTCGACAACCCTGGGACCCTCACCAAGCTTCCAGGGACACTTCCCATGAGCCGAACAAAATTATCCAGGCTGACGAACAAGTTCCTCAGCGGATCAGTGACGCATGTGTGCAGTTCAGCTTGATTCGTACAAATCTAGCCAACAACAAAATGATCAGAATACGGTGGACAAGTGAAGGGCGCATCGGACGTGAGACTTTGGCTCTCAAACCTGCAACACTCTGCCAAGCACTGATCCCATTTATGCAGTTGTGTACTGAAAGTGCCTTGCCGCGGCCAGAGCCAGCCGCCCAGCTTCAGCTTGATCAAGGAACCCGAATTGTTGGAGCCTTGGGTTTGTGCCCTTCGCCCTGAGCTCGTTCATTTGGACCTCTTCGCTGCCTTTAGCTGAATGTAGCTGAATATGGAAAACACATGAAACATAAGTAGCCGCTTACAAAAAGAAAACACACACCAACAAAGGAGGAGCAAAATCAATCCTGCTAAGAACACAAGCCCTTCTGCGTTCCAATTCGGCCTACCGCCACACCCCTTTCAAAAGAACAGCGTCATAAAATGGGCACAGTATATATAATAAGTTCAAGTACAGAATACGGTGAGCATAGATCATAGCTTGTAAAGGATAATTACAGTACACATTGTTAGCATTTATGCGCTCTCTCAACTGAGACCTAAGGTCTGCGCGCCCGGGCCAGGTCAATGACACTCATGTGTAAACATCTCTGTCCCGCCTTCCCAGCGGCAATGGCTCTATATTCTGATCCCCACTTTCAATGCTGTGTTATGACTCGTTCCGTGACCTATCATTGATGTCTTCTTTGCATAGCGATACTCAGCAAACCTGCAAAGCAAACAACTGTTTGGGCGAAGTCTGCCGTCGTCGGAGTACAGCTTTCACCTGCGACATCAACGGAGGCAAGATTGATTTGAATGCGCTTGTCGGCAAACTGAAGTGCACGTACTGTTGCAAAAGGCTGCGGATTTATTGGCTGCGGATTTATTTTTGATGTGTTTCTTTGTTTGTTCGATTGTTTTTTCATTGATTGTGTTTGCTTTTCCTTTTCCCTTTTCCTTTTCCTTTTTCCTTGTTCCTTTTCCTTTTTCCTTGTCCTTTGCCTGCTTCCTTTTCCGGTTTGCGGCACAGCTTTGCAAGCTGGCCACCTGCAGCAGCACTCTGCTCACCTTCGTTCCTTCTTTCCTTTCTTCCTGCCTTCTTTCCTTCCTTCCTTCCTTTTTTCCTAGCAGCACAGCTTTGTAAGCTCCAGCACGACAGCCGTGGAAGCAAGGGAAGCCAAAAAAACCACAAAAGCCAACAGCACCAAAGGCCAACAAAGAAGCAAAAACCAAAAGCCACCAAAAGCCAAAAACCACCAAAAGCCAAAAGCCATCAAAAGCCAAAAGCCACCAAAAACCAAAAAGCAACCAAAAGCCAAAAACCACCAGAAAAAACAACAATTTTTTCAAAAACAAATCCAAAAAATACCCCTCCGTTGCAAAATGATGTAAAGCCCAACTGAGATCGAATCAAGAAGCTGCATTCACCCATGAGGTGTTAGGCCATTACAATCCAGCCAAAAGTGTTGATTTTGCCGCAGGGCATGACATGAAACGCCACGTAGCAATTTGTCATTGCCATTGCGGGGTTTTATCGTGTGGTGATATGTGGGATCTGGTCGAAATGTCTTCTTCCAGAAATGGATGAAAGTCGCATTCACATGGGGGCCCGCTACATAATCTTTACTTATAGAACACACCATTGGTCATTGCAAGAAACATGTACCTATCAAGTATTGGGACTAAATTGTGAGAAGTGTGTCTAGCGCAGCGCAACTCTGTTTTCGCTGGTGTCGGAGAAAGTTGAACTGTCTGAGCTTTTTGCCTTTTCAAGCAAGGCTCGCCTTTGGCGAATGCCTCTGGTACGTTTGATCTGCAAACCTCGTTGATATCTACCAAGCCTATTGGACAAGTCGTCTTTGTCAGGGAGCTCCACATCATGGTCTTGGAGCATGGCATGTCGCTCCAAAATCGCTGACTGACTGTGTCTTTGTGGAAACTGCCTCTTCCATCTGGAGTTCGTAAAAAATAAAAACATTTTCGCCACTCTCTGTCATCAATTGGCTCTTTAAAGAACTGGAATTGGATGGTTTCACCCTTGGTCAAATCACTGAACTTGTGGCTCTTCCAATGTAATTGGTCTCTTTGCAGTCCGTAAGCTGAGCCTTCCAAGCAATATGTCCTGGTGATGTAGAACAAAGAAGCTTGGGCAGCAAGGCGCTGCATTAGATCAGCAAATTCCACAAACAACAACAACAACAACCAGCTACCGTTGCAAAAACTTGTGCAAACTGTGCTTGCACCTGCAGATTGGTCAATGTCATGCTGATGAGGTATATTTGCATACACAGTTACTCAAACACTCCACTCAATCATGTGGTACCACGTTCCAGCTGCAAGGAGAGGGTGCTAGATATCAGAGCAGAACCAAAAACATACATTGGAGTTGGACTTGTTAAACACTAGCGCAGGTCTACCGCGAACCTAGCGCCCAGCTGCAGAATAGCTATATTTAGCTGGGGGCCCGCTACATAATCTAATTGAAAAACCGACATGATAAGCTACTTTCGACCCCTTCATCTAAATTTTTTGATTATAGACTTTTGACCGGACGCCATGTAGTGTTGTGATTGGAGATGCCTGGACGCGCTTGGATTGTTGTGTGGTTATGTGTGATGTCGGACTGTCAGTCGTGATGTGCGGAGGTGTCATACAACCCGGGTGCGTGTCATGAGGTGACATTACACGTGGTGACTTGTGGTTGAACTGTAGCTTTGAAGGTTGCCAATGGTTGCCAGGAATCTGCCTCAATGACTGCAGGTTGCGAAGACCCTGATAGACTCCGGGTGAATTAGACTCTGATAGACTCCAGGCAATGGCCCATTCACAAACTCTAACATTGCCCGAGATAAGCTCCGACCTTGGAAATAGAGCTGTCCAACCGCGCCTGACGGGCTGAAGTCCAGCACATTCCGTAGGCAAACACAGAATGAACTATATAGATGACTATCAAACACCGCAAAACAGGGACAACGGACCAAAGATTCTAATGTAACACATTCCACCCACGGTCCTTGCAACTGACTTTACCCGCGCTAAATATAGCAAACACTAATGAGGCGGGTTGCATGGTCGAACAGTGAGCGGCCGCACCTTGTACCGTATCGATGGCGGCAGCAGTAATGCTGCAACTGAAAGTGATGGCACCTCATTGCCATTATATTTACAGTATATAAGTAGCACATTTATGGCATCTGACATTCAAAGCCTGCATGTTTTCGTACCAAGGGCGAAGCAGGTCGTGCTTGTGCCCGGCGTCGACACCGACGTATGTGTTCCCACCAGTCTAAACGCCTCATTTGACACTTCAAGTGCTGTGGCTTGCTGAAGAATCTGCCACCTTCAGCACCCTCCGTCCTAATCAATTTCTTAAGGACGGTATGGGCTCAGGGCCACTTGATACCACTTGTGGCTTAAAGCTGATTCTAGGGATTCTCATGTCATGAAACTGTACACAGTCAAGTAGTCAATGTACATAACAAGAAGCTACCAGGAACAAGTGCATCGCTTCTAGTAACAAGTTCCTTACTAGTAGTAACAATAAGCTAGTAGAAACAATAATACATATATATATATATATGTACGCGCAGCGAGTTCTTTGACTTTGACTACTTGGACTGATTGCCTCGGGCCTTGACTCATCGTGCGGGCTCTGAATAGAGAGATCAACTGAGCACAGCTCTCGAGCGCTGAAAGAGACCTCCATGCAGCATCAACTCACTTGGCGAAATGAGTCTATTTTGCGTACTCCCTTATCATCCTTTCTCCAATTTGCTTCAGGACTTGTTGGCATCTGGTTTTGGGACTCCGGGATCGCTTGTGAGAGTAAAGTGTTCACCGTGTATTGCATTCATGTGGTGGTGGGTTACAAGAGAAACTTTTGTCTAAGACTTGCTCAAATACGAAACTGCCAAGATTGAAAGGGCAAACATGCCCAAAACTGAGGACAAAACAAGCAACCCGAAAAGCGGGAAAGCAAAAATGTCAGGTGAAAGTTGTAAAACTTAGAGTATGTGTAGGCAGTCAAGAACAACCCTTCAGCTCTTATCCCGTGGCTGTGGTTCAGCAGGCAGCTGGGTGAAGGGATTTGATCGGCTGAGGCTTGAAGTGCTGAAATGCACTCTTGATCCTTCCCATGGAATCAGCTTTTGAGGTCTGCTAAGAATGACACAGCAGCGACGCAAAAATCTGTGCATCTGAGCATCTGCTTATTATATATATTACTTATATAATTATCTTTGCTCACTGATGAGGAACCACAGCTAGCCAGCAGCATGCCATCGACGTGCAGGTCAGGTCAGGGTTCAGAAAAAAGTTAGCATGCACAAACAGAACTATCTTAGGTGAACACAGGTGAAAACAATGAATAATGAACAAAAACATTCAAGGAAAAAGCGTTCAGAAATGACGAGAACTTTCAATTCAGAACGGGTGTTCCTGAGAGATGTGTTTTGTGCAGAATATGTGCAAACACACTGTGTTTAACTTTTGGCTGAAACATCACCAAAACCTAGGTTTTGAACCATTTGTCGCTTCAATGTTTTGTTGTTAACCATGATAAACACATTATGTTGTACAGTAGCTTTTGGCTGAAACCTGACAAAAACACTTAAGTGTTGAATCATTGTTTTGCTTCAATTGTTCAGACCAGGCCGACAAAGGTTTAGAGGGAATACCAAAATAACAAAACACAAAAACACACAAACCTATGCTGCCTATGCTTGAGACAAAATGAGGGTACTATTAGGATTTAGTTTGTTTTTGGTTTTGCCATCATTTTGTCTCAAACATTGGTTTCAATGGTGTTTATGTTTTGTATATTGGTTTGATGCCTTTTGTTTTTGTATACTTTGTATTGTTGTGTGTTTTTGAACGTATTTGTTGTTTTTTGCTTCGGACGGGGTCGCAAAACGCCCCTGCGAGCTGTTCGCAGTCTCAAAAGGGCTTTCAAGTGCCTCACATGTCTCGCAGTCTTGCTTAACTTTTCCTATATGCTCAAATGTGTGTAAAATTGTTTCACCAGGGTTATTTTGCTTTTGCTTTTATGAGGGTATGTGCTCAAGAAGAAACGCCTGAGTGGCTGAGTGGCTGACAAGAAGAAACGCCTGAGTGGCTGGTGTGGAGTAGTCATCGTAGTAGAAGTAGCATTTAGTAGTATAGCTGTAGTCGTCGTATTTGCAGTCGTAGCGTGGTAGTACTAGTCGTCGTTGACGTCGTCAGCCTGAGTGGATGGATGGCTGAGTGGTTGGCTTCCCGCGGGGTGCGGTTGTAGCAAGTACACCCTGCGGGCTTGATCAATTCATGTGGCCTGTTCTCGAGGTCACGTGATCTTTTCTTGAAGGTAGCAGCAGCAGTAGTAGTAGTAGTAGTAGTAGTAGTAGTACTAGTAGTAGTAGTAGTAGTAGTAGTAGTTGTAGTAGTAGTTGTTGTTGTTGTTGTCCTGCTGTTACACGATTGCCGAAAAAGGGACCGTCCAATCGTCCAAGCGTGGACGTTTGGACGGCCCCATTTTCTCGGTTGGCCTTGTTCGGAATTTGCTGCTTCGGGGTTCAACTAGGATAAGGCTGATAGGCCTACGGTTGGGCCTAGCTGGTTTGCTTTGCTGCTGCTCCTGATGCTGCTAGTTTCCTGCTGCTAGTTTCTTTGCTGCTGCCCTGCTGCTTCGCCTGTTGCTGGTATCTCCCTAAGGTGCGACGGGTTCGGTACTTCTATGACCTCCCTTCTCCTCAATGCTTTCGCCGATGAGTTTCCCGTTTGATGTCTAAAGCGAGACAAATGTGGATGTAGAGCCCGAGTTGAGCAGAAACTGTGCCCCCTGGCCCTGGCGACCTCCAAGTGCCAACCATCAACATCCATCAACATCCAGGAGTGTCCTCACAGTGACAATAGATTCATCGACCTCTTTTTGCATTATTTTCCTGCTAGGTCTTCGCAAACATATAGGTAATACGATTCACAGCGAGATAAGAGCTCCACATGCTATTGATGCATGGCGTGTGTCAGGGTGGCCGGTCGATACTGCGGCACCAAAGCCAACGCAGAGCGCACAACTCATGCGATCTCATTCCGAAGCCTGCGTCTGTGCGGGCGGCTGTTTGGCAAGCCACCCTTAAGTCAGGGGGCGGTCCCCCTGACTCGTGAATACTTCCAGTCACTCTACTACTACCTCCTAGTCCCTTTCGATGAAAGTTTCTTGACCGAATCTCATTTGCGCACGAAGATCTATCTACTGTAAAATGTTATTGTTTTCTTGTTTGGGCGGAGCATTTGCAAAATTCGAGCAAAAGCTGTCTGGCAGACGTCTGATGTCTGCAGGACTAGCAGCATCAGGAGCAGCAGCAAAGCAAACCAGCTAGGCCCAACCGTAGGCCTATCAGCCTTATCCTGGTTGAACCCAGAAGCAGCAAATTCCGAACAAGGCCAACCGAGAAAATGGGGCCGTCCAAACGTCGACGCTTGGACGATTGGACGGCCCCTTTTTCGGCAATCGTGTAACAGCAGGACAACAACAACAACAACAACTACTACTACTACTACTACTAGTACAACAACAACAACAACTACTACTACTACTACTACTACTGCTGCTACCTTCAAGAAAAGATCCCGTGACCTCGAGAACGGGCCACATGAATTGATCAAGCCCGCAGGGTGTACTTGATACAACCGCACCCCGGGGGAAGCCAACCACTCAGCCACCCATCCACTCAGGCTGACGACGTCAACGACGACCAGTACTACTACGCTACGACTGCAAATACGACGACTACAGCTATACTACTAAATGCTACTTCTACTACGATGACTACTCCACACCAGCCACTCAGGCGTTTCTTCTTGTCAGCCACTCAGGCGTTTCTTCTTGTCAGCCATTCAGGCTTTTCTCCCTGTCAGCCACTCAGGATCTTGAGTGGCTGACAGGAAGAAAATCCGCATTTCCACATACATTATGCGTTTAAACATTGCCTTCTTAAGAGCATTAAGATGCAAATAAAGGAACGCAATATCAAAGAAGAAGCTAATGAGCTAGACCAAGTTGCAACAGCATCAATTAACTTCTATCCAGGCAACAAGTTACTTCTGGTGTCCTGTCTCAGTAGGTGTTTCTAATGCCCCAGTAGGTTGAATCTGTCTTGCTCAAGTTGTTCTACACGTTCAAACGTGCCTTAACATTGAGCACCAAAAAGGAAGGCTGCTTCAATCTTCACCAGGCTTTTTTCTTGGTCAAGTTGCTTTGTTTGGTTCAAGGAAGGTAAGGAGCTAGACTAGGCACAAGAAGTTTTGATAATTTGAATTTGCATGGTATTTACAGTGTTTTTGATAGGTTTTGATCTAGTGAGAATCTAGTGTTATAAAAATCATTCATATGGTAAGGCCAGAATCCTTGATTTATATAACAAAAACAGTCAAAAAAGTCAAATTGCAGAAGTCAAATTAAAAAAAAACATCAAAACAAGTCAACCACTCGAAAAAGTCCAACAAAAGTCGAAAAAATGCAAGTAAACAAAAATTGAAACGATTCAAAAAAAGTCAAACAAAAAGTCAAACAAAAAGTCGGATCTGGGCAAATTGACTGCGTTTTGACTTTCTGAAGCTTTATGATTAGCTTATTTTGACTTTGACTGTTGGGACAGTTTTTTTTAAATAATTATAACGACGGCCCGGAACTTAGAAGGTAGCATTTTCGGCACTTCAAAACAGTAGATAAATTTAGAAGGGGGTTCCTGCTGCGCACCTTCTAAGTTTATGGGCTGTTTTGAATTACCATGCATATACCGCTATATGGCACCTTCGCTATATGTATATACTACACACATATATATATATATACACAAACCCTGTATCTGAAAAGCCTAGAAGAGATCTACC